ACTTGTCCAAGTGCACGATGCTAACACGCGGCAGGGGTAGGATCTCACCCGTGACTGTCAGATGCCCAAGCTCCCATTTCCCCCAACCTCCCATGCTTTCCCACCCAGAGAAGCATGTAGGAGAATTCAAAGATGCAATTCCAAACTAGAGCTAGTCCATCAGAGTGGACACGGTCAGACAGGAATTGTGTTTCAGGGCAGTGCTCTGTCCCATTTCCAGCTCTGTTATGACACATCCTCAACCCACACTGGAACCTTATCTGGAATATCAATGACCTGTTATTCAATAGTGAGAATCTGACTTGAATTTTCTCAACTAAAACGTGGACAAGTAAGGACAAAGAATGTCGGATAAGATTATACAAACAAGAGATTATCCCCTCAGTAGAAATACAAGAAGAAAGAAGTCTATGGTCAGGTCCCTCCTGGGCAGTCATTGAGGTAGAGCAGGTGACTTGTAGCTATAGGCTATGTGGAGAGAATTACCTATTGAGCGTAAGGGATGTCAATAAATGCTCACTGAATGAGTACATACATAAGAAATCGCATTATGTCTTATGACTCTCCACTCAAGACATACACTATTAAGAACTTCTTCACACTGTCTCTTGTCCTTCCTTCATAACCATTTCACAAGTCACCCAAGGCTCTTAGTACCACAGAGTTGACTAATATGGCTGTTTCCTCCTTAATCCTCCTGTATCTGGTCTCTCTCCAGGCCAATCCTCCCCCGATGATGCTAGATGAATAGTCTTATACACTCCTTTCATCCTGCACTTTTCGTGTGTGTGCAGTAATTTTAAAATTTAATTTCTATTTTTCTCCAAGTCATGCATGTTGAGTTTTAAAGTCAAAAGTTTTTAAAGCTTGTAATGAAAAAATAGCAGCCCACTGCCTCACCCCTTCTCACCCCTGAATCTGACTCCCCAAGGCAACCATTTATAACTCTTTTACCTGGTTCTTCTAGTATCCGTTTCCAATTTTATAAATATTATACTTACACAACTGTTCTTTCTTGATATTTCACTTTTAGTTATCACTTAAGGACTTCCCCACTGTAGAACCTAAGATTTTAGTCTTTGACATTCCCTTCTCCTCCCCCATCTTTATTCTCCCCCATCCTCTTAAGGCAATTATAGCACCATAGGGGCTATCTCAAAATCCAGTGTGAACAATGTACGTCTGATTGACAGCTGAGCAGTATAGAGTACTTACTTTGCTTATATTACTTTAGTGGTAACACTTCTGTATTTTGTGGAATTAATTGCTTAGATTGGTGTGTGTGTGTGCAAATACATGTAAATATTTATATACTCATATACATAGTTTTAGAAAAACTTAAACTCTTGTAGGTAGAATAATACACATTGGGAAACATATTAATTTCATTGTTTTCTTAAACGTATTTTTAGAGCCCTCTGTCATCCTACTCAAATCTGAACTTGCTGCTCACTAGGCCTTCTGACAGTTATTATCCTTAAGTTCCCTTCATCATCATCCTGGAAATCTCCTTTCTTTCTCTCTAATGAATCCCTTGTTTCCATGGGTCTCGGGGTCCTTCTCTTTCTTCAATTAATTCTTTATTTTTAGTGACTCACATTCTCCAGTAACTTCTTCAGAGAAAGTGTCTCAAAATATTGCTATTCCATCCTCACAGATAATTGCTATTTGGGCTAGGTATAAACATTCTATCTTGGAAATTTTTTTCCAAAAAATTTTTTAGGAACTACTCTATCGGTTTCTAACTTTCAATGTCATGGAGCTGTCCAAAGCCATCCTAATTCCTGATTCTTTATAGATAAAATTCATCTCCTTACTAAGCACCAGAAGCTTCCAGAATATTATTTTACTCAGATGCTCTGAAATGTCATGGTTTATCTTGGTGTAGTCTCTTCTCAGCTGTTGTGTTGAGTGCTCAGTTGGCATTTTTATTATTAACTCACTTGTTCCCTTTTTTCTCCACACCCACCTCCCATCTCCTTGCCATACAAACAACCATTACACTATATTCAATGTATAGTTTTTATCTGAATGAATTTTTACGAACTGTATATTATGTGTACATGTATTTTTTAATTTATGTGGATGGTATTATACTGTTTCCTTCTTGTTTTCACTAAACTCTGTTTTAAACATGTACATGGTCTTTGTTGCTCCTGACTGTCACATAGTATGTCATCCAAGAGTTATGTCCACCTAACTACTCTCCTAGTTATAGGTACCCAGGTTGTCTCCAAGTCCCCACCATCAAAAACTAATGCTAGAAAGAATATCCTTGCACGTGTCTCAACCGATCTTTTAATCTGGCGGTATGAGTTTATTAGTTCTGAGAACATTTTTGGTATTTTTCTTTGTTAATTTCTTCCTTTCCATTTCCCTATTTTCTTTATGGAATTCTTATTAGTTCAATGTTGAACCAATCCTCTAATTTTCTTATTTCTGTTCTACTTTCTGGGTGATTTCATCAACTTTATAATCCAACCGTTTACTATTTATTTTTATTACACTTTAATATATTTACATTAATTAATTTTACATTAATATAAATTTTACACTAATTATTTTACATTAATTTCCAAGAGCTCTTCTTAACTGCTAAATGTTCTCTTTTTTTATAGCAATCTGCCGCCTTGTAGATAAAATAATTTCTCTTCTATCTCTGTTGATATCAATTATACTTTTAAAAAGTTATCTTCCGCTCCCTGCATTGTTCATGTTCCCTCAAGTTCCTTTTTCCTATTTATTATTTTGATTTTGTCTTTTGTGTTGGACCTTTTCTTTGAATGCTGATGACCCCTAGCTGTGTGTTTATATTTAAGAGCAAAGCACAAAAGGCTTACTGGAAATTCCTGCAGGAATGGTTGGGGCTTGTAGAATGCTGGGTGTAGTGGTTTGACTGGTGGCCCCCTCCCCCAAAGATAGGTCCACATCCTAATTCCTGGAACCTGTGCATGTTCCCTTATTTGGAAAAAGGATATTTGCAGATGTAACTAAGTTAAGGATCTTGAGATGAAGAGGTCATCCTGGATTATCCAGGTGACCCTAAATCCAATGTCAAGTGTCCTCATAAGAGAGAGGCAAAGGGAGATTCTAGACAGAAGAGAAGGAGGCAACTTGACCATGGAGGCAGAGACTGGAGTGACACAGCCACAGCCAAGGAATGCCTGGAGCCACCAGAGGCTAGAAGAGGAAGCAAAGAAATTCTCCCGTGGAGCCCTTGGAGGTAGCATGGCCCTGCCAGATTTTGGACCTCTAGCCTCCAGAACTATGAGACAATTTCTCTCACACTTTTAAGCCACCTAGTTTGTGGTAATTTGTTGGGGCAGCCTCAGGAAACTAATATGGTGAGCCTCACTGAAGGTGAGGGATGGGACCATTTCTCTGATTACCCTCAAATATCAGGATACGGACATCTTTTCTCTTCAGATGGGTAGTTCCCCCATAGGGGAAGGCTGTGAACTCCACCACATTGCTACATTTTTGAGAGCCAAGCAGAAGTGGGCTGGGAGCATGACGTTCAGTTTGTGGACTTTCATGTAACACTCCCGTTTTCAGTACAGAATATCAACCCCACCCTGATGTTACTATTCCACGCTTCTCTGGTTCAGCCTCCTCAGAGAGGAAGTCTTCTAACTTTGGCTGGTGGCGGGGGGGGTGGGGAGCGGGGGGGGTGCGGGGGTTGGGTGGGACAGGCACCTGTGAGCAGTGTCTGGGGGAAGAGATCTAAGGTACCGGGGAGAATGCATCTAGGAACTGGGAAAAATCCTCTTGTTCTAGAATCCCCCCCATACCCCAGCTTTTAGACATACCTGGTGCCTCAATTCATGAGCCTTTCTCTCATTTTGCTTTTTTCTTGGCATTCCTCGCTGGAGGCAGTGTAACCTCAGCTTTTCTTGCCACTAGATTAGTTACCATTTACTGGCTTCAAAAGTTCTGTTGACATCTTTCATCTATTTTCATACCCTCTCCTGTTCTCTTTGTCACTGTGTCCTTTCAATATTTACTTCCTGTGTTAGTGGACTTATAAGAGATGTCCAACTTGGTTCAATCTGCCACGTTTAAAGAGAAGGACCACCTTATAAATTTCCATTTCAAGAATGTCTGCCATTCAGACAAGAGATTATGTTCAGTTTTGCTCAGAAAAATGAAAGCCTCTCTAAGGCCCTGTTTTAGCCCTCCTATTTTAGCCTTTCAATTCCCAAATGAAATTTCCACTCAAGTTAAATTTGGTTGCATTCTAGTCTCCTCACTCTCCATGACGAATCCCATTTCTTCATGTTTGCTTATGGTGTGGTGCTCAACTTCCTGGAATATTCACTCCCATATATTCTATTTTATTCTATTACATATTTTGTATCCCAAGCAAAATCCCAATCCTTTATGAAACCATTTCTGATAGCTTCAGACTATATAGATTTGTCCCTTCCCCCAAACAAATGAACTGTATCTTATATTAGTCAGTAAAAGAACTCCTGTTCCCTGTTTCAAGTGGTTGTGTTGTCTTCTCAGCAAAACGTAAGTTTCTTAAAGGCAGAAACCGTGCCTTATACTTTATGTGCTCTTTGTGATGGCATTGAACGTTCAGTACTTGTTAACTGATGTATACTAATTCAAGCCACAGATATGGAATCTGATGTCTGATACACAATAGAGTAAGAACCTTTTGAGGGTAAAGCCTGTTTCTTATTAAACATCATATGTCTATCAACCAGCACAGTGTTTGACACAGAAGGTCTCTGCTGAGTGACAGAATGAAAGGATGGATGGATAAATGGACTTGCGTTAGCTACCATGTTCAAGGTTGTACCAGTCTAAAGACTTTTCAGTTCCTAAGAACACTAAAGATGATTAAAACAACGGTTCACGACTGCCTTCCCAGAATCTAGAACAGCTTTTAGCACATAGGGGCTGCCCAGTTGATGAAGGTTACATGAATGAATCCGCAAGGAGTCAGGAACACTAGTTTATCGTTAGAAAGGAGAGAGAGACATTTGGCTTACCCAGAAAGCACTCCCAGGACGAGGTTGAGAACAAAGAAGGATCCAATGATGATCAGTGGGATGAAGTACAGCCAATTCCAGGTGGCTCCTAAGGCATCATTGGTCTGAAAGGAAGAAAAATGGTTCCTTAATGCTTCATCAGAACCACCCGCCAGGTGAAGGCCTCTGTTCCTGCAGCACATTTAGGGTGATGAAAAAGCACAGTGCAATACGGTTAAACGCTGCCTCACTTCACTCCCAATTTAATGTGGTTGTAGATTAACTCATGTTCTCCATGTACGCTGTGAAGGGCACCGTGTCAGCCACACATAACATCCTGAATTGGAAGGGTCTAACACCCTCACTCGGCAGGTAACTGAACCCAGAAAGGTAAAATACTTTTCTAAGATCATGCAAATAATCACTGGTTTTACCGTGTTTGGTGATGTGGGTTCTAAGCCTTTGTACTCTAAACTGGGCAAGTTCTCAAACGACTGTGGCAGGCTGTGTCCATCACTGTATTCCAGGGATGCTGGCAAACACCTTGACAGGTTGCTTGGGAGAGATTAATGTCACCCACATCCTGCTCAGCTCGTGACCCTGGGCTCTGGCTTTCCTTCCTCCATCATAGTCCAATAGTACAGAGCTAGATCAGGCCTGGCCCTGGGAAGGCTCTGGTAAAAGAAGGAATAAATCTAGATTTGAAGAGTGATCCCTTGCGCTCTCTCTAATGTGAACACACAGTGAACTAAAAACCGCATGGAAACCCATATACTGGATTCTTATACCACAAGTGAGACGTAAGGCCCTTGAATGGTAGGGGGCTGAGGGAGGATTATACGACATGTCTTAGCCAAAAAAAAAAAAAAAAAAAACATAAAGCAACTCTCAGCAGGATGTCTCATTAAGGACCTTTAAACAGTTTTGGAGAATTCTGAAAAGTCCTAACACATGGACCTCTCAACTAAGCTTTGCCTTGACTGTCTCTCCTCACGATATCAACCCCAAATCTTCCTAACAAGTCCACCTGAATTGCATTTTACATATACAGGGCTTTGAATCCCCCCAATCCCACTCCACCCCTCACACACAAACTTTAATACCTCTTTGAAACTCAAAAGTTTCTGCAAAGATATTTTATTCCCAATTCACTGGAGAAACAAGGCCATCCAAATCCAACGCCATGCCTAAAATTCGCAGCTAAATTAGTGAAATGCAGATCTGAACTCGGAATTTCTATTGCAAAGTGTTTCTTATCCCCGTGAGTTACCTTTTTCTCCCTCTCACTACTACCTTTGCAAACATATTTTGATTCATTGTCTTCCTGCTTCCCATGGACTTCTATGACATTCTATCTTGTTTTTCCCCAAATTATCTCATTTTCCTTCTGCCTCCCATTCAAATATGTCAGTCTATAAAATACAGCCTCCCACTAATCATGGCAGCTATCACTGTACAGTAGATTTTTCCATTAAAAAATAGCTTCTAAGGCAACCTCTTTCACCAAGCTCGTGTCTTTTTGTCTTGCCCCTATGCTGTTCAGAGAGATACGTTTGCAAATGAAGCAGAATAAAAGTTAAAAACAAACAAACACCTTCTGAACTGTATGAACAAAAGCAGAGACCTGCCAATTTCAGTGTATAAGATCTAGGCTCTTTGGTTCAACCAGGTCTGCTCAGTCAAATGTCAGCAGGGCAGATTCGGGTCAGACCGCAGAGAAAATTTCTCCTGATATCAGAAGGAAGATGCAGAAGAATTAGATGCCAAGGGCCACAGGGGGTTTGAATGGACATAGGAAGCTAGTTTTTCTGAGATAACTGAGACATGGTTCTTCCTGTGAGCTACAGGATGGACTGAATGATCTTTGTATAACTAGCTCTATCTTGATCCATGACTATAAATGCAACATTTTGTAAAGACTGGTTAGCGCGGATGGTTCACCGGTGGTGCTCCAGATCAACAAGTTTCATTCACCCCATGGCTCAGACAGTCAGCCCCACCCTGAGAGTTCTTCGGCAGCAAGAACTGAGTCTGCTCCCAGCACCCAGATCACGGCTCAGCTGCCAATACACATTTGTTGGTGTCAGCAATGGCAATGATGAAATTGTGACTTTGAATCTGTTTTTGGTCCCAGGAGTGACGGTGCTACGTTTTGAGGATGGCTAGAGCAACTTCGGTTGGGTGACTATTTGCCAGAGATGCTGCACAGTGAAGAACAATTCCCAAATTGTGTTCTCCTCGTTGCTAGCAATCTGTAAGATGTTCATGGGTTCTGTGGAAAATGAGCTTCTGGAACCAAAGAAACTGGGGAAACACAGCAGATTATATTTTCGTGTCAGCCTGTGAGAAGATCCACCAAAAAGGAACATTATTAACTTTATTTCCTCCATCATTTCTTACGCTTCCTTGATTACAAAACCTCCTTTTCAACGGCAATCTATTAACATATCAGGAAATACAGTCTGTGAAATACAGGGAGAGAAGGACTTCCCTCACAGGCCCCGAGTCTGGAATGTGCTTCCCAATTCTCTAAAATGCTGCTGATGCAGAGGGTCCTTTTACTCAGTGCGCTGCGAGAATGTTTTGGTTTCGCTTTAACCTACATTAAGGCAAGAGCCTCCACTGTCTGCTCATTTCTGTATCTGGCATCTGACAAAGTGTTTGGCACACATAGATGCTCAACCAATCAATAACTGACCACAATTTGAGTAAGATGATTCTCGTGTTTAAAATATGCCCAACAAAATTCATTCTGATATTCTCCCCAAGCTTTGTCTGAATTGCTTTAAAAGAAAAAACAAAAGTCATCCACCATGGTACTGGGTCCTGTTAGATGAGAAGAACAGAGGAGAAAGGGAAGAGAAGGAGAAAAAGAATATCTGGGAGGACCCCAGCACCAGCGGCTAGAGGGTTAATAACCCTAGGGGGTCATTAAGGATGACTGACAGCTTACAAGGTTCTTCTGGAGAAAGCAGCTTGACAGCTCCCCGAGATTATTCACAAACCTTTTAATAGACTTGCCCTACCCTCTCTACACCTTCCGCCTCTCCCTCCAGCTTCCTCTTCCCTCAGCCCCTCCCGTTCCTCCTCTCCAGGTGGCCTCACACCCCCACCTCCCATGCCTGTCAGTGGATCGATGACAAGGCCACCAGGACAGGGGAACACACCTCAGCAGGAAGTGGGCAAGCCCAGGACTTCATGCTTCCCTCCTCCAAAATGGCAAGGTTCTTTCTCATGCTGATTAGAGCCTTCAATCTCCTTCTGATTCATCGTTATTAAAACCTTAAAACTGTCCAGTGTAGGAGAGACAACTACTGAAGTGTCCTTTGAGATGAAAAAAGAAGAAAGTAATCGACAACTCTGAAGCCAGCAAGTGCCCTGATACCATATGAGGTGGGACTCAGGAGCGCCAAGCAGAAAGGTACCAGTTCAACTGCAGAGTTGTGACTGTGTTCCCTCTGGGGTGGGCATGTGTGTCTGTGACACCGCAGGACACGGGACAGAGGAGGGGCTGCCTGTGTGAGAGGGAGAGCCTCTCCCTTTCCTTCTGTCTCCCCTGTACCCCCTGCTTCTGTGACTCTCCCAAGCGCCTTGCCTGCGGGAGCATCACACTTCATTCTCCCTAGCAACTCTTCCTTCAGGGCCAGGGGACAGCTGTGCTAAGTCCTCTTTGCAAGATCCCGGGGAAGGAGACCTACAGCTTTCCAAACATGGTCCACTGGATTCTGGCCCCAGGAGAGCAGACCCTTCCCTGCCCAGACCGCTGTTGTGGAGCAGCTGAAGTGTAAACCAGCCCCTCACTGCAAAGACAGCTGCACACAGAGTACCAGCTTCCTCCTCCCCACCATTCATGGAACACCCGCTCCGTGGCAGGCAGTACATGAGAGCGCTTTTCTTCGGGCAACGTCCTCTTATTTAAGATGCTGATTCTCCTCCCACCGACCCAGTCAAGCCCCTAGACTTGGCAAGCAGGCTACCCTCCATCTCTCTCACCTGCTGATTCCCTGAGTGACACACACACACGCGCACACGTGCGCAGGATGGGGCTGATGACAGAGAAAGCGGTCGGGGGTGGCGGCCCACCCTGCACAGGGAGTGCTCAGCGGGTACCAGCCCTGACACAGTGGGAATGTGTTCCTTTGGGAACCTGCCTGACTGGGGGTGGTGAGTGCACCCACTCCCTGCGTAAACAGGCACACATGGCAATTATCACATTAATCTCCGGGTGATGGGGGAGATGGTGGAAGGCAGGGGTGGGAGGAGGACTGGTAAGAAGGATGGAGATGGAGATGACAAGAGGCAGGGGGTCCCTGCCCAGCCCTGGCCTGGGTTGCAAAGGCAGTACTATAGCTCCCATCCTTGGAAACAGGCCTCCATCAGGGTTCCACAAGGCTCTGCAGAAAACAGGCTGAAGGGCCTCCTCCTGGATGTCCACGCCTCTCACAGAGCAGCTCTGGCCAGGGAGGCTGAATGACATATAGCTGAGTGGGGAGGCTGAGTGAATTGCAACTGGGAAAAAAACGAGGATACTTATTCCAGGGTCCTTTCAGAGGGAAAAAAAAAAGGTCTCTCAGGTACACCTGCTTCCCAGGCTGGAGGTGGCGCCCGATGGCAAGCCCTGGCCTGGCCTGCCGCAGGCTCAGTCTGGGCACCATCGGCATCGTGGGCAGGATAATTCTTTGCAGTGGGAACTGCCAAAACACCTGGGGGCAAGAACTGGCTTCAGTTGCGAACTGCTGGCCTAGAGGCTCTGCCTCAAAGAGAGAGCTTTGGAACTGCCAAGTGAGCTCAGGTCAAGGGAGGGCTGCAGCAGCCACCCTGGGCTGTCAAAGAGGCCAGGCCATTCGTCTCAGCAAAAGCATCTGTCCTAGGCCTCTGCAGACCACCCCGGGGAGAGAAAATTCAGAGAGGGCAAGAGGTAGAGGAAATAAAGTTAACAGTGTTCCTTTTTGGTGGGTCTTCTCACAGGCTAACACAAAAATATAATAAGGAGGCCAAAGACGATTCAACTGCTTACCACCTCCCCTGAGGGAATGACGCCTGGGCATCCGGCACTGCCCAGCTGACTTGCCTCGCCTGGGCCCCTCACTTCATTCCAGCACCAAGCGTACAGCTCCTTTTCATC